TAAAAGGGGTGTAAAGGAAACATGATTGCCTATTTATATAATGATGATTCCAAACAAGTGGCAACGCTGTCGCTTGCCCCCTGGAGTTGTTATGTATGAAATATTTAAACGAATATTTTGTATAAAACCGCTGATTGTTATTTGGTTTAAACAAAGGGTTGCATATGGGAGAAATAGTCAACCAAAAACGGAATAAATTGATGCAAATCAAATTCTCGCATTTTTGTTTTGAGTTTAAATTTTNGTTCATGATTATAGGAAAAAGGAGATTACAACGCGAAGGGGGTAATACTTAGCCCCTTTTAAGTACAAGCAAACGAAAGTGTAAGCAGGGATAAAGCGATACCATGGAAGTATCGATACCTGTACTTGGAAGTAGCATCGGATTCCTACTAAGTATCGGGCTAAAAGCACCTACTTATATAGATATTTGTACCTACATATATAAAAATTGTTTGTATAAAAAAACGGTATCACATATCTATGAATTTTTATCAAAATAACTTATGTGATTATCATTTTGGATTTTAGACGAATGGTACTTAATCTCTTTAAGAAGAATTTTAAGTTTTAAAACATGTATTACTAGAATGGACTCCCAAAAAACAAGGAAAAACCATAAAGTCAAATAAGTTGTTTTTTAAAAGGTCCCCAGAATTTTGTTAACAGAATTTGTTCCTTTTTATGTACGTACTTTATTTGTTATACATAAATATTTATTTTGCACAAAGATAAAGCGATTGAGATCAAAAACAATTATTTTATAAATTATTTCAAACATATTAATTAATTAATAAAAGTTATCTGTATTATAACATTGTTCAACAGCATTTTTGCAGAGTAACAATGGTATATCTCTGAAAAAAGTAATCATGTTGATAATTTTTGGAGGACAAAGTTATAGCATTCATATCGCTAGTTTAGCTTTTCAAAATATTTCCTTCAAGAATTTTGCAGAAGATTCCGTTGCAAATTAAAAGATTAAGAATTTTTTGTGAGCTTAACGATTTTTCTATGTCTCTTTGGACCTCGGAAATTCGCCTTTAATTGAATATAACCGGGAAGAAATAAAACAAGGACGTTAGTTGATCCTTTTGGAGACGTTGCGTTTTTTTTTCCTTGTTTCCTATATCCAAATATGAGTTTTCACAAAAAGTTGACTTAGCAACTTTTCACTTCAAGCTAGATGATAATAGGTCTTTCTTCGTAGGACTTTCTAAACTAAATTGAATAAAAGTTTAGCCATTCACAATAAAAATTAGATTAAAAAATAAAAGTCCGGGGATAAAATTGTCACTGAATCGCGTTTCGATACAAGTACTATCTCCCGATATCTACCCAGTACTCGGTTCAAAAGTATCGATACCAAAATTACTTGGCAGCGGCCGAAAATTATCGAGTATGTACTTGTATTTACTAGTATCGTTTTGTCCCTAAGTCTAAGAGCAAAAAGGAAGAAATAAACCTTTCCGACCACCATATGCTAAAATTCTTGGAACTAACTTTCTTGTGATTCGGTTATTGGGACAACCTCAATCAACGCAACTGCCCGAATTTTCATCGGTTGCTTTTACCGAGGGCGTATTGTATTTATATATCGACACCTGAGTGGAAGATCGACCTATCTCGGCAGCCAGTTCGAAAATGCCCTATCTCAGAAAACTTTTTAAGAACGCCCTATTCCAGAATTTTATTGAAAAACATCCTATCTAAGAAAATCGTTAAAGAATGCCCCATTCCAGCTAAAAATATATTGATTGCCAGCTGGAATAGGGCATTCTTCAACAAAATTCTGAAATAGGGGCTTCTTGAAAAGTTGTTTGAGATGGGGCGTTTTCGAACTGGCTGCCGAGATAGGTCGATCTTCCACTCAGGTATCGATATAAACTTCCATATCGCTCATTTACTTCAATAGTGTCATAACGCAAAAAACCATAATAGGGCCGATTGTGTTCTCCGTAAATTTTTTTTAGGTATTTATAACTGTACACATATATAATTAAAGAAAAAAAGCGTTATCATGAGTTCCATTTTCCCAGAATCGGTTCACTTTTCACGTTTGGTTTCCATGTATTTACTATGGGCGGAATGAAAATGTATGAGCGATTTCTTTGTTTTGCGAAACTAGTGCAGCTAAACTATCGCAAACTATCGAGTGGCTTCACTATCGATATTTTGCCAGCTCTATTCTCTATCTAGGGTGATTGGAGTGGTGAAATTAGCTGTCTGTGAATCGGTTAGGCAGAGGTGGAAAATTACGCTGGTTGCGAACCGATTAGGAATTTTGCGAATTTAAAACATCCGGCATCATTACAAGAGGCTCATTATTAGGGCTCGGAGGCCCATGCAAATGCATGTTTTATTGGGCATCGTCAAAAGGGGATGGTTAAGTTATCTTACGAATCATAAAATTTCTTTTAAAATGGCATTCAATCGTTAGTGAATATTTTTGCATATTTTATATATTTTACAATAGATGCATGTGGTTTTTGCATATTTTTGTTTTTTTTGTTTTGTTTACAATCATTTAAATTAAGTGCAAGCACTCACTTCTATCTCTGTTAGATCTCAACTAGTGTAAGAGTGTCGGAGAGAACAGGCCTATATGGGACGAGGGGCATTTATATTAACGAGGCAGCGGACGAACTAGCAAGGTACCGTACAGGATCGTATAGGATTACCCGGCAGTTTTGGGTGTCCTACGACCCACTTAAAACCAAAGCTCTCTTAAGAATGAGCAAAAAAGATACCTACAAACTCTTTGTATGACGTATAGAAATTCATTAAAGCCGATTAACTATCTCAAACTATCCATGTATCTATTTACACAAGATAGTAACTGAATGCTTGATTATAAATAAATTTTCTATATAAATATGTATGGTATTTTGAAGTAAATTGATTTCGCTATTTTCTTGTTAAAACGCGTGTGTTATTTATTTTTGTACCGGCAATAAAATGTTAACAAAATTTTTTTTTACAAATTTTACTTATTTAAAGCGCATTTTTTTTTGAATTTTGAGTGCATGAGATTCCGAGCCCTACTCATTATAATACCTATTTCGCATGATTCAATAATACAAGGTTCGATAAACTGACAGTTGTCTCTCTCGCACCGCTCCCTTAGCAGTGGACCCGTGTTGCTTCTTTGCACATTTACATGGAAACAGTGTAGCTTTGGTGTGAAATAGAAGTATGAGCGTTTGTGCAATATGTTTATTTGTATATGCTTATGAAGCATATTTAACTGATGAAAACATAAACTGTTTTTAAATTGGATGTTTACATCAATGTCATAGTAGTCTTATTTTAATTTCGAGTCATTTTGCAGTTTTTATACAGCTGAATAGCACATAAATTACGTACTTCACATAGATACATCAATATTACGTTCAACATTCCGTTTAAAATGCCAGATTTCCTGCAAATACATTAGAATTTACAAAAGGAATTTCACTACTAATTGCCTACTTTGCGTACTGTTCTACTACCACTTTCGCACCAAGTGATTTCATTCCTCCCCTTTTCTCCGTCCTTCGTAAATGCAACCTTTTGTAAGGGAGTGTCAAACCGCAGCTGTCAATAATTATCTAACCTTGTATTATTGAATCATGCCTATTTCGCTTGTTCTGCCGTGCGAAAGAGTGGGACAACACGTTCATATGCTTATTTGTGTGTATAAATAATTGCTGTTGTTATTTGTTTACTGACAAGAGTCAAAAGTGTAAAAATCAAATGCATGTAGATCTTTAATTTTGCTAAAAGGAGCCGAACATGCCCAAATATTTCGATTGATTAGGAAATTTCTATTAAATAAAACAGTGACGTGGGGAATATGTACTTGTTAAAAAGCCTGTTGGCTGTGGCTGCGAATGTACTCGATACATCTTGAAAACGGGCAAGGATTTAAGGAGGCAACGAAAATCTCTCGCTTTGGAAGCAGTGCAGAGCATCAGCTCTAGATGCTAAAATTTGAACAAAAAAAGTCGAAATAGGGCAAGCTAACTTTGAAAATATTATATGCATATATGAAACTAGAAGAAAGTTTGTAATTAAATTCAGCGGCCCTAGGTGCTTATGCAGATACATGCATATATATATACGTATATACATACGTACATATGCATTCGCTATATAGGATTTGTTCATAAAATGCCCAGCGTGTAGTTTGTGTAAACAAAGAATGGAAGCACAGAATTGTATGTTTGGAAGCATATACATATGTATGTATGTATTGTATGTGCGTGTATTTAAAATAATTCTGGCTATATATTAAAATACGTGTGTAAGTCTCCACATGGCTGGAGAATTGATATACACAGATCGAATTGTTTATAAAATGATCCAAAGCAGGAAATAGGGCAGGCAATAAATGAGTGCAGTTGTTGGTACCTCTATTGATAAAAACAGTATCTATGAATGGGAAAGGGGATTGTTCGGAGACAAAAAAGTGAAAAGCGGATAAGAGGAATTTAAATATTTATCAACTTTATACATATATTTTTCTTCTGATGCATTACATTTTCTCAATAGGTAAAAATGCATTGAGTGGTTTCTACCAATGACTATTAATGGGTCATATAACATACATACATACATGCATATGTAGATCCCCATTTAAGTAAGCAGTGAGCAGGCTACTGCAATGGTTTATATTAAAAGGACTTGTTTTGCGTCTGCAACATATTAGAGAGAGAAAGAAAACTATCATGTTGTGCTGGTGAAGTATGTATGTATATTGTTCGTACTTTTATGCGTGCCCCACAAGAAAAAATGCAAAGGCGTGCAGCATGCAACACAATAATTTTTAAAAAAGGTGCATAGTTACAAGGTATCACGTAAGGACCGACACAATCAGCTGCCTGTTAAGCGGTCCGGTGTGCAAGGCAGTTAAAATTAAACGAGCATACTTAAGGGGAACTATGTCGAGTTTAATTAGCGACAGTGGAACGTCAGCAGATTTGGATATCAGCAGCAGGGTAGTGGCTGTAGTTTCTGCGACATCGGCTGCAGCAGCGGCAGCCACTGCTTTTGTGGGATCCCCTATTCAGGGAGACACCAAGGCCGCTTGTACGCAGTTCGAAATGTCTGCAACACCACCGGTCATTAACACGGATGCAGCAGTTGAAAGGAAAAATCCAACTGACGAAGACAATTCCATCAACGAGAACGGAAATAGCCTCAACCTATCGCTAATGCAATCCTCACCGCCACCTCATAGTTATCGTCATTCTCGAGCCTATCGCCATTTCAAGAATCCTCCGCAGCCACATATGTGCATTCGCACAACCACAGAAGCTGGCGAAGAACTGTTTATCAATGTGCTAAGTTGGACACGAATCGTAATACCACAAGAACCTACTGATCCTATACCTTTGTACGGTGGAATGAGGGTAAATATATATATATATATATGTATAAATCAACTGCATGCGAAACATCTTACATGTATATCTTGTGTTCTTTAGGTACCACCAGGGAGCCCACGGAGTCCGCCTATCGTGTTTGCTGTAATGGCGAATCCAGAAGTTCTCAAAGATTCAGGGCGGCACAGCAAGGATCCGGAAGAGCGCAGGGCCATGGTTGAATTAATGTGCGATTTCGTGGAAGCAATGAATCCAGGAGTGAAACTAGTAAGGTATGTTAAGCAATTGTTATTATATTTTGTCAGCATATCATTATTAAACACGTTTGGTCAAATTTGTATAAAATATCTTTGATTCCCCTCTGATTAATACATATCGTCGTTTAAAGTAAAAAACCGCGTACGAACAAAATGCAAAACCGCTTATGTGAGGTTTCATAAATTCTTTTCTAGATAGTAAAAACACTCATATTTCAAAATGGTTCTCTTTTTTCGTAATCGCATTTCTGGCTAGCATATTTCAGGGCGAATGGATAAGGCTTGAGCCAAGAGCTTGTGTGAGCAAATCCAGTTTTTGGCAAAAAATGTCAGTTACGCGGTTTTGCAGAACGGCGATAAGCGGTTTTGTGGTTTAAACGACAATATGTACAAATGTGTCTAAAAAGGTGACACAACTCAAAGTTACTCGTTTGCCAGAAAATGCGAAAACCTATTTCTTAGCATATGTTAATCACGTGTGCAAAGGAGACTTTACCTTAGGTTCCTTTAACAAATGCCTTATTTTGAATTGTGTACTACTAAATATACATATCGCTAGCTTAGAGTGAAAAGTTGCTAAGTCCACTTTATGAAAATTCATATTTTGATACAAGATGCTAGAGAAATTAAAAATGCATCGTCGCGAAAATGGTAAAGGTCCTTGTTTTATGTTTTCTCGTTTGTAATTAATGAAAGGAAGAGTTGTTAAGTCCAAAAAAAGCTCCGAAAATTCGATAAGGCCAAAATAGTACGAAATATTTTAGTAAAGATCGAACCCCTCTGATTCGTATGGAGTTTTGCTTTCTTGAAACCGGCAAAATTGTATTAAAAGTTTTGTGAAATTCTATAAGAAGTTTTTTTCCTCCCCTGTATAATTTTTAAATTGGGACTTAGCAACTCTAAGCTAGCGATATGTAACTTAGAATCCAGTTCCTAAATAAGAATTTGTATCCCAGAATTCATTAATAGTATGGAGTTTTACAATAAAAAATTAGGTCATTTTTTCCAACGAAGTATTTGTGTCAGATATATTCTACCTTGTATATTGTACATATACATCGCTACCTAAAGGTGAAAAGGTGCCCAGTCCACTTTTTTCAAAATTTAGTTTCAGATGCAGAATGACAGATAATGCGAAACTACATCGATTTTTCGTTTCTCCTCAATAATTTCAAAAAATGGACTTGTGAACTTTCTCCTTTAGGTAACGATATGCCAATCGCAATAGTAGCTTTGGAGCCACAAGCCTTTAAAAGTTAAATTCTTAAGATTTTTCAATATGTTCCACAATTTTTCTTCCGTCTACAATATATGCTTAGATTGCAGTTTCGCGTTCATAATGCTATATGTAAATTAAGGGGTTTTGTATTTAGAATGCATATACATATGTAAATACAATGGCCAGGGAACGGATTTTATGGAATTTGATTTTTTTTTTGCTAAAGAGATAGGGTATATTCGATTAAGAATGTCCACGATTTAGTTTTCCCTGATTCCATATATACACATTTGATGTTGCCTTTTTTAAGATATTTGCCTTGACCTGAAAAGGAACGAAACCGAAACCGTTTCATGCACAGGTTTCAATCGGTTTCCAAAAATGTATAAAAATCAGCTGCAGGACCTAGCAACCAAAATTTTTTTCTTCCGTAGCATAACTGTGCCGTTTCATGTGGAAACAAATCACAGATGGCGTAGAGCTACTTGAACCGTCGTACGCTGCCACTAAAAAGCTGCAAGTGGAACACCTGGTACTCGGAAATTGTTTCGCAATATAGTCACAATGTAAATCTAAAACAAAAAAACAAGAAGGGAGGCCATTTTATTTAACTTAATGACGCGCTTTGGACCGCTATTTTCATGAATCCGCGATACAACATTTTTTTATGTACTGCACAGAGAGAAAACTCAGTGCGTGTAGTACCTACGCGCGGAAGAAGTGAAACTTAATAGAGGAAATTCTTCATCTTCATCTTCACCTTCATCTTCATCTTCATCTTCATCTTCATCTTATCTTTATATTTGTTTTTGATTATATTCTTGTCTTTGCATTAGTCTTTTCCCGCCCAATTGGCGTTTAACGCAGCTATTCGTTTTCTATACCCGTCATATGCTACCTGTACCGTGGCGTTAAATATTTATCGCAAACATAACGGAGCTATAATAATAAGATTTGCTTCAATAATTTGAGTTTAACTTTTTAAACAGGTGGCCACCCTCTTCAGGCACCTCAAAAATATTTTAATTGTGTTTCTGTAAGCTCTTTCTGTACTGTATAGTACTTTAAGCGTAAGACTTTTGTATAATTAAACTAAATTTTACTTTTGAAACAGGTGGCAACCCTCCTACATTTAGCTAGAAAATACAACTTATTCAAAACCATTTCTTTTGATACCCATATTGGGATAATTCGTTTAACTTAGTAAATAATTTGAATTTGATTTTCGTATATATGGCAACCCTTTAAAAGACTAAAACCATACTGCAAATCTGCAGGTCAAGCCCTTTCATGTGTAACCTCATTTTTGAAAATCGTACGAACGATACAGATTTTATGACTTGATGTTAAATATTTTACGCAACCCTCTGCGGCAGAGAAATTTTGAATTCGATATTCTAACATGTGGCAACTCCTTTCATGGAACTAAAGCTACGTTGCACACCCGAAGGACAAGGCCTTTCATGTGACACCTCATTTTTAAAAATCGAACGAACGATACAGAGTTTATGGCTTGAGGTTAAATATTTAGCGCAACCATCTCCGAACTCGATTAAGAAGTTTCACTTCAAAAAGATATTGCGTTACTAACAAATCTTTTCTGCAGAATGACTGCAGAGGAAAATACTATGAACGTCATTGTAATGAAAGCTCTGCGGGTTATCAAAATGAGACCAATTCTGAAGACGAGTCAGCTGATTTTTAGTTAATGCTGTCTCAGTTAAAGCTTAAACAGACGGCAGCGTTGATCGGGATTATTTGGGACTTAATCCGGATCAACTGCAGTTAATTCCCGAGTTGATCCGGATCAACGCTGCCGTCTGTTTAAGCTCTTAGACACCAATCGTAATTCCGATTATGTTAGTGGACCGAAAAGTTTTGAAATTATCCGTCGTCTTTTAGTGACCTTTGCCAATCAAAGACGGCAAGAACGAAGTACAATATTGGAAGAATGAGTCTTTACGGAAACCGCACTTAGCTCAGTTAGCTAAAATAGTTTTAGCTGTTCTTGCAACGCAAGTCAGTGCTGAAAGGCTATTTTCTGGTCTAAAATTCATTACCGCCACCTGCGAGAACCAATTTAAGTAGTAATGTAGTGGGTTCGATTTCTTTGATAAGAACTGATCAATTGTATGGGCTATGAATATTTAAATAAATTTATTAGATTTTGCGAGTGAGATGTGACTCTTCTTAAACAAAATATTATTATTATATTATAATATCAACAATATTTATGTGAAAATCACATTTATATGTATGTATATCAAATACCTATCCAACAACTCATTATTTAATAAATAATATAATTTACATTCTGCACTTAGATCAAAGCAAATGTGGTGGAATATGGTTATTAGTTTTTATAATTGATCCAGAGGTGTTTTCTTAGTAAATCTAAATTAATCACAATGTTTAATTTCGCCAAAAACAAACCGTGGAAGGTATATACATTTCTGAAATAAATATATTTTTTGAATATTTTTCGGTTTTTTGTCTTTTTTAGCGCCTGCTTTTGCGTTTTTTGCGGTTTCTAGTGCCTTTTCTGCCTATTTCGCTGTTTTATTTTGCCTTTCCTAGCCTATTATTTTATTTTCCCTTTTTTAGTTTTTTTTAGGTCTTAAAAGTCCGTTCCCTGACTATAGGTCCATTCAATAACTTTTCCAGTAAGGACTTGCAGCGAGAGCGTAAAAGAACAAGTAATTTTTAGCAAAAAACCGACTTCAACTCTCATATAAAAAAAAGTATATATATATATACAAACATAAATATGAAAAGTAATACATGAGACAATACCTGTCTATTTTGCTGTTGCTGAGGTGCTAGTAATTTTCAGCTTAACGAACATATTGTCGGCACTGGCGGGTGTTTCGATTTTATTCAGATCTAATTTTTGTACCTCAGTCTCTAAACTAATGCAGTTCTTTTCGTACGTAATTTTAGAATCCGTTTCTACTGATGATGTTTTTTCACAATTTTCAACTGGCACAGATTTTTTATCTTTGCTTTTTTTTAAAGCATTCAGAAGAGTTTTTTCTTTGTCCTTTGTCTTGGTCTCCTTTTCTTTGTCCCTATCCTTTTCTTTGTTCTTGTTGTTCTTAAAGCGTGGAAATATGCATCCGTTAGGTAAAAACCCAACCAGTTTATCTCTTTTTGTCGGAGTCGTCGTTGAACCTAAAGTAGGGACCAGCAGCGCATTTTTTGTAGAATTGGATGTTGTGAGTGAATTTGAAACGGTGATTGCATTTCTTATATTAGTTGTTGAAGTTTCTGTCGTCACTGTTGAGCAAGAAACAGATAGCGACTGATTAACAGGCTGAGCACATTTAGCCTCACTGTTTTCGGATCCAATTGTTTGTGGGCTGGAAAACTTTTTCAATGATGCTCTTGTATTACATTCGACACCGATTTTTGCCGACAACTTGTAGCTAGCATCTGTTTGGTCCTTTCCGTCAGTGGATGCGCTCGGCGATTCCAACCCGCCACTTGCATTTTCTTCGTTTAGAGCCTTGGCACACAATTCACTTCTTTCCTTTGAGTGGTTTGTGTTCATAGCGTTAATTTTATTATGATCAAAATCTTGTCTCGAGGCTGAATTTTCGCTACCTAATAGCGGAGAATCATTCCTAACCATGGTTCTCTCAGCTAGACTATTAAGCGGTGTTTTGTTCACCTTTTCCGAATATGAGCTATTGTCCAGGTTTTGCTCTGAATTGCGTATCGATTCTGTAGATTTGGGAAACATCTGTTGAGTGGTGACATTGTGGAAATGTTGCTGTTGTCGTTGCTGGATAATTTG